AGATGTTGGAATGGAAGAACAGAAAAAGAGGGGAGAATTGTTTAATGGAGAAAATAGAGAAAGCATAGAATACGTGAAGCAGGTTCAAAGAGAATACCAGGAAACTAAAAAGTCTATAGAAAACTGGCATAACAGCCTGAAAGAGACTAAGGTCAGATTATCTGAACTGGAGGGCAGATTTGTAATATGGGAGCATGAGATGAAAAACTTCTTAAAAATAACAAAGAAACAAGCAGCAATAATACAAAGACTAGAAGATGATAAGAGGATCCATAACTTAAGAATTAAGAACATAAAAGAAGTAGGGACACAAACAAATGAATTACAAAAGCTACTCACAGAAATAATCCAAGAGAATTTCCCTAATTTAGCAAAAGGTAAAGATACTCAGTTGTATGAAGCATACAGGACCCCAGCCACCTACAACCCAAACAGAGCAACACCCAGGCATATAATAATTAAAATTCCAGAAATCCAATATAAGAACAGAATACTAAAAGCCATCAGAGACAAGAAACAGATCACTTACAAGGGATCACCCATCAGAATTACAGCAGACTTCTCGGCACAAACCATCAAATCACAAAGAGCGTGGGGGGAAATAATTCAAGCTTTAAAAGATAATAACCTCCAACCAAGATTGATATATCCTGCACAACTATCCCTGGAAATTGATGGAAAAACAAGGTGCTTCCAGGATAAAGAGGAACTAGGGGAATATGCAACCACCAATTCAACTCTACAGAGAATACTGCAAGATATTCTAAAAAAGAAAAATACGAAGAATCCAGAAGTAGCGGCAGAGAGGCCACAATGAATGGAGGAGAAAACAAAATGAAGAAGACAAACTGACAACTAATGACAGAAAAAGAGCTCAACAGAAATGAGGCAGAGAAGATTGGATGATAGGAACAGCTATTTTGGAGAAAATGACGTCTTAAGAGGTAATACTGATTTAGTATCATCTTGTTTTGAAGTCTGATCAAGCTTTTGTTCTTCTGTCTCCATTGGTCTAAACAGGTGGTATCTTATTGGATTTTATTATATATGATAGTATAAGCAAAACCTTTTATAGACAAGGAGATTATACAGAAACCATTGTTTATTTTCTGTTAGTTGATTCTAAATACCCTGTAACACTGTTGTTCTCTTGAATGGTTTTACATTGTTTTGATATATTTGATGCTACAGTATATGAAGTTATGCTCAAAGATTTCAAGGAAAGAGACAATATGGTAACTACTTTTATGTCGAGATAATCTTGTGGTGAAACACTATTTTGTTTAAATGGTTATCTTTTGATCTGCGCTGATTTGCTGTTATGCCCTCTTTTATCTCAATCTCCATTTTATTATTTACTTTTTTTATCCTTTTAATTAAGGGAAAAATAAATTAAAAATAGCAGGATATATTATAGTAACCCACTTTGACTTTCCATTTTCTTGATTTAAAGCCCTGTATTGCTCTCACCATCTTGTTTTGACTGATGTTCCTCTATTCTGTTTTGCTTGATAGTACCAGGTTCAAAGTTTAGGCAACAGCTGTGAAGATAGTGGGATTCATTATGATGCCCATTCTGGTTGACTATTATCTACTTTTGAAGAATTATAATGTCTCCAATGTTTTGGTTTTGTTCTTTACTGTTTTGTTCAATTTTATTATAACTAATGATATAGGCAATTCTATTAGAGATAGCGGGAGGCATTATGGTAACAATTGTTGATCACGTAGTATTATGCTTTTACATTATCTATTACGTCCACCCTTTTGATTTGACTGACTGTTCTGTTATGTCACATTTGGTTCTACTCTCTTCCAAAAAAGTAATAAGAACTGTGGGAGCAACAAAACCCAAAATGTGTAATTGTCATTGTACAAAAGAGAGGAAAAGAAAGTGCTCTAAACGATATAACTGCATGTATATTTAAGTGTATAAGATAGATAATGATATTACTGAGTTTTGTTGGATCATTGAACAGAACTGTTTGCAGTCTCACTGTTGGAATGTCCACTTTATAAGCTTTAATTTTGTAACCTGAACAATTGTTTCTGAGATTACAAAATGTAATCCATTAACTAGTGATTTCCTACTATTTATTTTTTTCTGTAAATCTGTATAACTTGTACCCTTTCTCTGCTTTTTTTTTCTTCTTCTCCTTAAATAAAATTTAAAAAAAAATAATGCAAAAGATATATATGCTGAAAATTCTAGTACTCTAAAAAACTGTTACACAGATTTAATGCAATACCAATCAAAATACCATCAACACACCTTACAGATCTAGAAAAAATATGCCTAAAGTTTATCTGGAAACAGAAGAAACCTAGAATAGCAAAGTTGATTCTGGGCAACAAAGGCAAAGACAGGAGGCATCTTAATTCCTGACTTGAAACTATACTATAAAGCCACAGTGATAAAATCAGCATGGTACTGGCAAAGAAATGGACCTGAGGACCATTGGAACAGATTAGAAGATGCAAATACTACTACAAAGACATTCAACCACCTTATATTTGACAAAGGGGCTAAACATGTTCACTGGAAAAAAGATAGCCTCTTTAATAAGTGGTGTTAAAAATTGGCTCTCCACATGCCAAGGACTGAAAATAGACTCATGCATATCACCATACACTGAACTAAAGTCAAAATGAATCAAGGATCTAAATATTAAAATAGAAACATTAAATCTACTGGAAAACAAAGTAGGTAAAAATCTTGGAGACATAGGGGTAAGGAGAGAATTCATGACTAAAAAACAAACTGCATGGGAAATACTTCAAAGAATCAACAACTGGGATTTCATATTAGTAAAAAGTTTTTGCACTTCAAAAGAAATCACCAACAAAGTGAAAAGAAAACCCACAGAATGGGAAAGAATTTTAGCCCACAATCCCTCAGACAAAGGACTTATATCCAGAACATATAAAGAACTAAACAACATCAAGTCCCCCACATTCAAAGACCCTCTCCAAAAACGGGCATCGGAGATGAACACACATTTTTCAGATGAAGATACACAAATGGCAAATAAATACATGAAGAAATGTTCACCATCACTGATCATTCGAGAAATGCAAATTAAAACAGCACTGATATTTCATCTCACCCCAAAAAGAATGGTTGCCATCAAGAAAACAACAGATAACAAATGTTGGTAAGGCTGTGAGGAAAAAAGGAACACTGCTCCACTGGTGGTGGGAGTGCAAACTGGTGCTACCACTGTTGAAATCAGTATGGAGATTCCTCAAAAAACTAGGATTGGAAGGTCCATTCAACCCAGCTATTCCCCTCCTAGGTATTTTCCCAGAAAAATTAAAAAGATCATGTCATAGAGATAGATATGCACCCATGTTCACAGCAGCACAATTTGTGATAGCTAAATCTTGGAAACAACCAAAATGCCCATCAACTGCAGAGTGGATGAAAAAAATGTGGTATTTTTATACATGCTGGCATACTACTCAGCTATAAAAAAGGATAATCTTGAGGCCTTTATAAGTAAATGGAGGCAACTTGAAAATATTCTCATTAGTGAAACAAACAAGACTCACATTAGTAGATATCACATTCTTCTAGTGTAAAAAATAATAAAAACTGACAAAACAATGGGATCCAAAAAGTATAACAGATATTGTGAAAATGAAAGGGAACGAAAGTGCTCTAAAGAGTATAATGGTATGTATAGTGTGAGAGATAGATGACCATATTACTGAATTTGCGTTGAAACACTAATTAGAAGGATTTGCACTGTCAATGTTTGAATGTCTAGCCACTGCTTATGCTTTGATTTTGTGACTTTGGCAACTATTTTTTAAGATGACAATGAGTAATGTATCAACTAGCGAGTCTATGATGTTAATTTTTTTTTAATCTGGTATTGTTCTATCTTTCTCTTCTGTTTTTATATTTCCTTTAATTTTCTTTTCTTTCTTTGAAAAAAAAGAACAATATACAATATAATGACTGTTGTTAAATTTCTTTTGTTCTGTTTTGAAAATCTCTATGGTTATTGTTTTGAGTTTGCTGTTGTTTATGTCTTTTGCTTTTTGTTTTTCTTTTCTGACTTTTCTCTTTTTAAAATAAAAAATAGATGAAAAGCCTTAATAAAACCAAGTTCATAAAAACATTTAATCCAACAAAGAAATATACCAAAGGATTACTCTTCAAATATATAGTAAATCAATCAGATAACTCATTTTGAAAAATTTCTATAGAATATGAAAAGGAATTTATAGACAATGAAACACACACAAATGGCCAAGTTCACTATTAATCTGAAAATGACAAATTTACAGCTTTTATAATACCACAGGTTGGCAAGGGTAAGGGGAAAGACTGTACACTTGGTGTGACTATATTGGCACAGATGTTATGGGGAGCGATTTGCATAATGTTAAATACAAGTTTTGATACAATAATTCTACTGCTTAGTAATCTCTTAAGTAACTGCATATAAAAAGGCATATACAAAAATATTTACTGTAGTGCTCCTTGTAAATGCTAAAAATTAGAACTGGATGTCTACAATAAGGAACTATCTGAATAAGCTATTATGAGACATTCAGTAAAATGAAGAACTACATAAGATCTCTTAGACATAGAGTGGAGAAAACAGTTGGAATGATGCATGTAATACATGATACATAATTTATACAATAAAACATAACACTACATACAGTGAACTATTTTAATAGGTACATAGACTGGGTGTAAATTTGTTTTTTTAAAAGGATTAGAAGAGTATATGCCAAACTGATAGTAGCTCATGCTGCTAAGAGGGAAGAACATGAGAGAGGATGATGGTCAAGAGGAGCCATTTATATGCAATTCATCTAACAATCGTAGTCCAGCACGTCTCTAATTTAAATTCTTTGAATTTATCAACCCATAAGTTTATCCACAATGACCAATGAAACACATACCTCCAATTATGATAAACCTGAAATGTAATAAATCTTTTTCCTAAATCACCATTTGTTGTTTACTAATAATTACTTACCCTCAGGTAATGGCTTATCTTTATCTACATTGTTGTTCTCATAGTAGAATTCATAACCAAAATGCTTTACTCGTCTGTGTTTTAAAGACTTTTGAACTGTATAAAGAGAAAAACGTAGCTAGTTAGAAGAAAAAGAACTATAGCCTTTTTTTTTTAAATATGTAAATTTTATTTTTTAAAAACCTTCATTTATCATGGAATTCGTAACAACACAAACAATGGATAAATTATGATTGAATTTCATATCCTAGTAGGTCAAGTCCCTAGTCCAGAAACATGAGAGGATTCCATTAACTGCCGTAGCAATTTCTTTAAGAACTATAGTCTTTTCTCTATTTTGGTCAACATAATCAATAAAGATTAGTTGGATGATAGTAAACTCTGTTAAACTACTGTCCTCAAGAACTTTTTGTTGTCATTGTTGTTGTTGTTGTTGTTACTGTTTTTGGTGTTTTTTTTTTTTTTTTGAGTCAGGGTCTTGCTGTGTAGTATATAGGCTGGTCTTGAACTCACTTATGTAGCCCAGCCTGGCCTCAAACTCAGTGATCCTCCTGTCTCAGCCTCCCAAATGGTGGAATTACTGGTATGCATCACCACACCTAGTTTTAAGAACATTTCACCATTCTGTTTATTTATGTTATTCCTTCAAGTTTAAAACTGTAACCCACAAATGGTTTCACCTGATCAGTATGAGAGAGACAATCATGTACACTGCCACTTATGAGACTCCTCATGATGTGAAAAGAGTTAGAGTAACTGCAGGAGGCTCTGGCTACATTACAGTGGCATATGCTGAACTGATGAGTCCACAGAGGAAACATGCTTTGGAGTGAAAGACAGCAAAGAAGGTCATGTGAAAGGACATAGGCAAGTTAGCTACGAAAATATTGGCTAATAGATATTCATCCCTTTGGAGTTCAAAATTGATAGCTATATAAAAATTATCATATCTATTATTCACATTCCTCAGAATTGTTGGTATGACTTGTCTAACACTGAATTCAGGATACTTTCAATGATCTTATAGAAAGAAACTTAATAAACCAAAGGAGTAATGGAAGAAAAGTAGTAATATGACATTTTGTAAAAAGTTTTAATATCATATTTTGAAAATTTTACTTACAGTTTTGATTGTCTATATCTTCTGCCCAATTAATGATTTCCAAAAGCATGTTCTCATCTTCAGAAGAAACAATTTCTTCTACTACTGTAAGACCTGGAGGTAAGGCTTGAAGCCCCAACTTCTTCCACTGAGCTACAGAAAACCAAATTAAAATAGTCACATATGAGGGGCTGGGGATTTAGTTCAGCAGCATAAGCACCTGCTTTGCAAGCTTATTGTGAGTTTGATCCCCGGTACCGATAAAAAAAAAAAAAAAAAGAAAGAAAGAAACGAAATGGTTACATATAAAAACTGAAGTTCCTGTACACAAATAATTCTATCCAATAGCCATTTACCAGTTCATGCAGCTCCTAATCCTCATTTTCAGAAATAAGAATTCTCACAGCACACAACTTGTTAAAATTGCAAAAATAAAGATCAAGACCACAATTATAGTACTTTTTTATTTACTGAAATTCTTTTCAGCAAAAATAGTACTTAAGTATTCTACTTGAAAATGATTGTCACTTTTTAAACCTCACTAAAAAATAAGATATTTCACTATATATAGTATGTGCCTATAAAAAAAGTCAAGATGGTCTCTGCATGTTGAATATAAGAAGTTAAATGCCTTTTTTGTCCTTGGAGTCTCAATACTAACTATGGTCAAATAACAGAAAAGTGTAATAGAACACACACTATCTAAAGAAATTAAAAGCACCACTTATAAAGAATTATTTAATATATATTAAAATAACAAGGCCCTATGACCTTCAAAGTTTTAAGTACAGAAAGAAAAGAGAATTTTCTATCAGATAAAGGGAATAGTTTATTCATATTCATTAGAGATCTGACTCATTCACACTACAGAAATGATTTTTGAATTTTTTAGCTAGACAATTTACCTTTTAGTCATTTAATATAAACACCCAAAAAACAGTAAGTATATACTAGATCCTATTAACAAACTTTAGAAGTAAAATAATAAATCATTTGATAAAGACATGCCAAGTACTTATAATGTGTCAGTTATCATATTATTTATTCAAATCACATAATAAACTTTGGAGAAAATCCCTAGTCAAATACTTGATAGTATAAATAACTCATACATGTCCTAAATATGTTTTTCACATCTTATAAATGTAAAGTATCTCTTGTATTAGCTACTCAGTAGCTAAGTGGAGGTAGGTATCAAAATATTTGGTACATAGTTCTATTCTCAATTAAAAATGATTTCCAAGGTTATAAACGTTATTGCTACAGTCTCAGAAGGACAGCTGGATCTAATGAAGGCCTAGATATGAAGAATACCCCTAATCAAACTTTGTACAATCTCTTACTGAATATTCCACATACTGAATTGGCAGAAATTCAACGGCTATACCTTTTTATTAAAACCCCTTAACCATTCAGTTTTCAAAAACTGATTAGAAACATTCAAAGTGTGCAGTGGTTAAAATCTGTCAAGCTTAAGTCAAATTTAAAATTAAATACAGAGCGACACTGAGAGATATAGTTTCTAAATATATCTTTAGAAGATTTTAAAAGTTTTCCTTTCAATCTCACTTTACAAAACAATAATTTGATCATTTTTCTCTCACCTACCTATCCCCAGGATATCTAAAGAGAGCTCAGTGGCAAAGGAACTCAATACATCTCATTTGCACATTAGGGAATAAAACTGTAACAATCCCTTAAGCAATATTGTAAATTAGTCTATAATTATTATTTAAATTAACTAAATTATTTAGTTCCTAAATCACACTACCCAGTAGCGACTGTATTAACAGCACAAACATGAATATTTTCACCATACTGAAAATTTGATATCACCACTCTAAAGTTTTCAGGGATCTTTAGCTGCTAAGTGTGCCTCTCCACAAACATGAAGACTGACATAAACCACTGGATGACAGTTAAATTTTAAAGTGATTAATTGAAAGCTTCCATGAGACACTGTGAGCTAAATTGATCTAAGTCTTCAACATCAAACTTGAAAATTAGAATTAGATAGGAAGCCTCCAAATTTAAGTAACAAATGCTTAAAGAATATTTGATTAAAGGGACTGCTTAACTGATGCCCTTTATTAGTTCTACTAAAACTGAACTCACATCTATGTCTATGAAAAGAAGGCTCAACCAAAAACAAGAACAATCATTATTTAAAAGATAACTATATGATACCTTTTTCCACAAAATTCAAATACAGAATGACCTTTTGTCCTAAATCATCTACTATTTCTTTTCCATTGAGGGAAGCATAAGCATTCTTGGACTCTTCTATGGTTTTGTATCTTACAAACGAGTAGGGCTTGTTAGGTGGCATTAAGAGAGCTTCCACACATCCACATTTCTCTAAAACCAGGAGCAGCTGCTTCCTACTCACGCCATTACCCAAACCACCATTGGCAACAACCAGGCTCTGAGAAAATAGAAAAAGAAAGCAACATGAGCAATTGATACCAACCTGTTTATTTTCAAGTAAAATTAAATAGGATTATTGCAAAAAAAATTTCTGCAAAGATGTAATTAAAAAGAAAAGATGTGTTCTTGTGGTGATTTGGTTTGCTAATTTCATATAAAATACGCAAGCTAATGTATTAAATATTTTAGGACTAAGAAGTACTCCCATGTTATAAATAACATTTAATTTTAAATAGCCTATTTATAAAATATTCATTTCTTAATAACCATAAATGCAAATTAAAAGACTCATTATAATTTTCAAAAATAGAGAAAGGATGGGGGAAAATGTAAATACTTATATAATACCTCCTTTTTGCCAGAAAACAAATGTTCTGTATTCTTTTACTTAACTCCTACAAACTTCACAACAAAGTACAGACATCCCTTGTTTAATGACCAAGTTACAGTCTTGCAACTAGGTCATTCATTGAATTGGTTGCTAACTGAAGAATTATATATTGTACAATGCAATATTCAGAACAATGAAATGGTCAAAGGAAATTCCAACTTGATGAGTTTGCTTTTATTTGTATAACTCTTACATGCAGTACTGTAAAGTATAACAACAGGTAAGTCATTAAACAAGTAATATCTGTGGATTTCATTGGGGTAGTGAATCCTACTCTATAAAGAAAAAACTGAATAGCAGAACAATTGGATTAATGTGGTGATTAGGAGAGCAGTTTTTCAAACCTATTTATGTTATTTTCCAAAATCCACACTTTTTAGTTTAACCATTACACAATCTTTATTAAAAAAGTCTGACACCAAGAAATGTCAATTATAGGTCTTGATGAACATAAAATATGGAATTACCCTGTCTTTGTAAGTTAATTTACTTTAGTTTAGTCAGTTTACAAAGAAAAGTATTCCTTTGTAAACTTCATGCTTACTTCTTATTATCAGTCCAATACCAAGTTTTATTCACGGGACTTTGGATGGAGGCTATTCACGGGACTTTGGATAGAGGCACGCTTTTGTCTTTATTCCGGTGTTTCTGCTGTTGATTTTACAGACTCTATACTTAAAAATCATTTTGTATACATTATTAGGTTATTTTATGACCATGACTTCTAAAAATGTAATAAAGCAAAAGAAAATCATAGATGATCTACACCCATCAATTTCATCATTTGTACTAATGTAGGTAGTTATTCTGAAAATAAGCAGATAATAAATATTTTAAAACTTCACAGGCCATTTAGAAGTTTCTGTAACACGGTCATGATTTTATATGTTAGAAAGCCTTTAAAATGTGAAACCCATGCTTAGCATGAGTCAGATTTGTTCTGAAGATAGTAGTATGCTAATCCCTGATTTATACTATACTAAAGATTAGTACATATTATATTAGTTTTATACAAAATAAGAATGCCTCAATGTGCTTGAAAAGATGCAACAAAATCATCATTAATCTCTGTTCTGTCATGGGCCAAAAAGTACTTTATAAACATGCAAGTATACACATAATAAAACTACTATAATAATGTGTTATACAGTATAAAATTTAGCCTCATAACTGGCTTGCCCTGGATCTCAATGTAGCCCTTTAATTAAAATAACAAAATAATTTGGTTACATCTAGCCAGTTACAAAAAATTTTCCATATCCCTAAATATAGGTCTGAGAGACAGAGGAAAAAATTAAACCAAAGTGCTTTTTCTTATCCTCACACATCAGTACAATACAATACAGACTACTTCTGTGACTTCTGGTCATGAAAATCTGTGGAATTTCTCCACATTAGCAATAGATTAATCCTGCAGAAGATTCTCCAGCAGACACTGAGTCCTCTAATCTAATTCTGTTCAATTCTAAGACTCTTTAGCTGGTGATACTATCAGATCTCACAGTGTGTGAACACAATCCCACAAGACTGCCTTCCAACTCAAATGCCATTGCAGAAAGTAAGTTGCCACCTATACTTTCGACAGAATTGCTATGAATCAGGATTTCCTGGACTCCCTCCTGAAGTCGGATGAATTTGCTAGAGCAAATGACAGAACTCAAGCAGATACTTTATTTACACTAACTAGATGATTATAAGTGATATTACAAAGAACAAATACATAAGGGAAGGTTGTGGGAAGGAATGCAGACCTCTCATACCCTCTCTGAGTAGACCACCCTCCAGCAACCTTCACATATTCAACCATTCAAAAGCCCCTCGGAATTCTGTCATGTGGGTTTTTATGGAAACTTCATTACACAAGTACGATTGATTAGATCACTGCTCCTAGGAAGAAGCGGGACTGAAAGTCCCAATTCTCCAATCATACCTGGGTCTCTCCCGTGACATGCCCCCATTCAGAAACTATTAAGCCACTCCTGCCATCCATAGTTTCATTAAATACAAAAAAGACATTCTTTTCACTCCAGAGACCCCAGGAATTTTAGTATTCTGTGCCAGGAAACTGGACAAAGATAAAACACGTTTCACAATATCACACTAAGAAATTACAAACACATCATAAATGTCAAGAGTCCATCGCTCCATCTAGGAATGACAGATGATGAGGTATAACTTGAGGAACAGTATCAGCACTCAAAGATGCCTTTCAAGTGAATCGCAGGCAACTCTAAAAGTAAACTACACAAAAATAATGTGGTTGGGGAGGGAAGGGAGCAACATTCTCCCCAATACACATAAGTTATACAGTATAATTAAATATAATAATTATTTTATTTACAATTGTTCACCCAATAAATTTCCAAGTAAATAAGAGTCAAGTAGAAAATTCAGATTGCTTTGAAGTTCTCTTCAGTTCTGACAATTTGAGAAACACTGACTAGAAAAATCTTATGACACATAAAAGTGCTACATACATGTATGAAAACATCACAATTATCCAAAATACTTTGTAAAAATAATATATACTACGTAATATTAATATATGTATTAAAATATATAAAATTAATATATTAAAAAAAGAAAACTCCCCAAAATCTAATGCTATAAATTTATGCAGAGTCAGCAATACTTATAACGCATCATTAAAGAGTATCTGTTCCCCATGAATGAGTAAAATACAATTATAAATTCCTCTAAAATTATATTCTTTCCCTTTAAAAGTATTCTGGAGAAAAATAAAGTGTAGGTTAGAGGCCACTTTGGAGGCTGTGAAGATGAGATTAAAGCTTCTGGAGACCCTAAAGCAGAGCTTCAAAAGCAGTAAAGAACTTAGCCCATTGTTTTCCTACACTGTAAGTCCAGTAATTAAGAAACCAAGCTACAGGAGATGTGAGTAAGATATTTGAGTTTACCAGCCTCAGTGGTTCTTGGCCAAGTGCAAACATACCAAATCTATTATCTATCCCATCCTTTTTAACATGAATTTGACTTAAATTCGCTAAAATCATTAACATCTGAGTATGAATCTTTTATCTGTTAAACTTAAAAGTCCATCAACACACTGTTTATTCCTAAAATATGAGGCAGCACAGGAGACAACGTGATAAACCTAAAGAAAGAGTACTGTTCTGAGAATCAACACACCGAAATTTTAATCCCAGCTCTACCTCAATGTATATCTTTGGCCCCTATTAGATGATACATAAGCTTTTTTCCCGCTCTTTCTCTGTAACTTTATGAACCAAAAAGTATCCCATAGACTTTCTTAAAACTCATGAAGTATTTTTAGGTCTATAAATATTATCACATATTCTTTTTTGGAATCTATCCAGTGAACTAAAAAATATTGCATACTAGATATACTGCACACTATAATCTACTTCTAACAAAGAAAGCCAAAGTGAAAAGGTAACACTCACATTTGTAAGTGAAAAAGCAAAGTGAGTTTCTAAATCATAACACATCACTTCTCAGCCTTTTGGCTAAGATCAATTGTGGTACCTAAATCATAACACAGGCAAACTCAGTCTCTCATACATAATTTCATGTAATTATTGCCATCAAAAAATGAAAAGGCTTTGTAAGTAACTCCTAATAAATAAAAAATGTTTGGGAGTACATAACCAAAATACTTTATCACATAAGTCAGTTTGAGAACAGCATAAAGATTATATCAGGATACAGAAGAACTACCTTTGTGTTTCTATTCAATCACTTACCACTTTGTCAGTGAACACATAACCTCTTAAAACTTTAGTTTTCTCACTTATCTCATAAAGATTTTAGGGAATTAAATACAGTAACATAGCTAAGTATGCTTTATCAACTGAAAAGACTCATACACTGTTATAATTTATGTATACCCACAACTTCCCCCGGTTCAGTCAGTATGATTAATAAAAATTCAAATTACAGATTAAGAGGCTGCAGGTAACATTGGTAGGGTGCTGCCCTGCAAGCTCAAGACACTGAATTCAAACACCACCACCCCAGCACTGCAAATACAAAGCAAAACAAATTACAGGCTAGCAAATAGTATACAAAGTTTGAAGGTTTATCATAGTATAGTATTATTGATAAAACACATGATGGACCAGTCACAGCCTTGAGCAATTATTAAAAATATTAACATAATACATAAACATCAGTACATTTACATTAAAATTATAACAAGAGTTTTACGTTACCTGAGTGCCATAGGATACTGCCTCAATACCTTCATGTCTCAGCAAAGTATGCCTGGCTTTAATTTGCTTCCTTAAGAACTTCTTCTCAGTTTTATTGAGTTTGAAATTACTTTGATAGTTGATCTCCATAACAGTACTACAAAATAAAAAGAAGTTGAAATGTCAATCTTAGGAGTTCCAAAGAAATAATTATATTTGTAGTTTATAATTTCTCCATATGACTTTTTTTTTAATCTTTAGTTTATATTTCACCAACCCGGAGAGATGAAAACTAACTTGAAAATAAAGGAATATCTAAGACAACAAAGAAGAGCATCTACCTAATAACGTCTTTCAAAGTTCTAAGACATGCTCCTGTGTGTGGCTTCCTTAAGCACACTGTTTTTAGCCAGGCATGCCAGCACATGTCTATAATACCAGCAATCTGGAGGCCAACGAAGAAGGATCACAATTTCAAGGCCAGCCTGGGCAATTCAGCCACTTAAGGAGACTCTACGTCAGCATAAAAGATTAGAAGGGCTGTGGATGTAGCTCAAAGTATGCTCTTTTCCTACAGGTACAGTATCTTATTACTTATAAAGTACTACATAAAACATAGGCTAGACAAATTTCACATCATAATATAAGCCAAGATAAGGAGGAAAAAGAGCGGGGGGGAAAGTCAAGAGATACCACATATGTGTAATTTCACTTAAAGCTCAAAAATCCAAAAACTAATCATTATCATTAATGTACATAAAAATAAAAAGCATGGAAATTATAACCAAAAAATTCACAACAGAGGTTCTTTTTCTTTCCTTTTTTTTTTTTTTGAGACAAGGTCTCACTGTGTAGTTTAGGCTGGCCTTGAATTCACTGCGTAGTCCAGGCTGGCCTCAAACGCCCAGCAATCTTCCCATCTCAGCCTCCCAAGTGCTAGAACTGCAGGCATGCACCACGATGCCAAAGAAGGAAAGGAGTTATTTTTAAAGCAGGAGGGAGAGGAAATTATAATGAGATGTGACACATAGGAGCATTAAAGTGATTCCTTATGCTAAACAATAGGTAGAGGTATTGATTATTTTTTAAATTGCATATTGTACACCTTTATATCTATAATTTTTTAAATAACAGAAATAAGAACCCCATAAAGTTGGGTTTTCTTACTGAAGTATGTCATCATAGTTACTATTCCCAAAGAGGTCTTTATACTCATTCTAAATCTGCATGCTACATTTTGCTTTAGCATACAAGCCAACTTTACTTATTCACAGAACAGCAGTTTATTCTGATTTACCTGTTAGCTCAACTCCCTGTCATGGATTATGCTCAAAGACAGTGGAAATGCCCAGCACACAAAGTAAACATTTGTTGAAGAGATAATGGACAAATCAATCAATACACACATGCTTATGATCTCAGCACCCTGCAGCATACATATCATGGGCTTTCAACAAGTGTATAAGTTAGCTGAGGAGAACAAACATCAAATGAGGAAATCATATGACACACCTTTTTATAATTGTTAATTATATAGTCATTGGGTGTGACATAAGCGCAAGAATAAAACATAAGATCAGGGGGCTGGGGATTTAGCTCAGCAGCATAAGCACCTACCTTGCAAGCAGGCAGTCGTGAGTTCGATCCCTGGTACCGGTAAAAAAGAAAAAAAAATAAGATCAATGTTAACTGGAAAAGTTGGGGGAAGACTTCAAACCAGAAGGCAACTCGTGCTCAGTACTGAAGGATAAGAACACCATAAAGTCACATGGAAAAGAAGATTTTTAGTGAGATGGTAAACAGCAGAAGCTAAAACAGAACTGCTTATGTCTGGCAAACACAGTGAGACATCAGCATAAATTTTAAAGTAGAGAAAGTTTGCTGACATGTGACAGAACGTAAGGCCAGCAGGATAGGCTGGTGGGATGACATAGCAGGCAAGTTAGAGAGAAGCCTTGAAATAATGCAGCCTGCCAAGCAGGAATGTTGGCTTGGTGTTCATGGAGTCACAGAAAGAAAGGAAACAAGGAGAGGGGAATGGTGGAAAAACAAAAAGTTCCAGTAGAACCAATAGGCCTTGATGACTACTCAGATGTGAGGAAGAGAACAACCAAAGATCACTTACTAACAGAAGAGAGCTTTAGTCACTGAGAGACTCATGATATTATCTCACAACTGCAAAGTCAGAAGGAAGGGGAAGAAGAGCCATTCAGGAAGAGAGGCAATGAATCAGATTTAAAATATGATGTTTAAGGAGCAGGTGACATGTATAGTTGCAATGTACAGACAGCATGTGACAATATGAACTGGCTCCTAAGAAAAGAAATGAGGTTTATTATCCGTGATGGTATGAACAGCTATTTTAAAGAAAACAACACATTATAATAGCCAGTGCTGATTTATTATCATCTTACTCTGAAGTCCTACCATGCTTTTTTGGTTCTATCATGTTGTATCTTTTTTGGATTGTATTATGTGTGATAGTATAAACAAATTTTCTATGGAAAATGAGATAATACAGTAGCCATTGTTTGTTCTCTGTTATTTGGTTCTGAATGCCCTGTAATACTCTCATTCTCTTAAATGGCTTTATACTACCTTGTTATGTTTGATACTATTGTATATAAAGTTATGCTCAACTATTTCGAAGAAAGAGACATTGGTGGTAGTCACTGTTAATTACGGGTTGTCCTGTAGTGAAATACTGTGTTGCTTACATTGTTCTGTTCTGATCTGCTTTGTTATGTCCTTTTGACTTAATTTCTTTAAAATAAAAAAAAACTTTAAAAAAAAGAAAAGAAATAAGGATAGAAAACTTTAGAAGTCATCATTACAAAAGAAAGGGAGAACTGACTTGGTCTGTCTAACACTGCATTATGTGTAATAGTTGTACTAACATATGTCCCTTTCACTGGACTATCTGCACTATGAGGACAATGATTAAATCTTTTTTTTTTAATGCCAGCCCCCTAAATTATTCTTTTCATAGTTACCTCAGAGCTTCCTTCAATGCTATGAAGCAGAACACAACAGCAATTAGCAGTTCAGGTTCCAGGTTTGATTCTTAGCTCTAATGCACACTGGAAGAGCTGGCAGCTATACGATCCTGGTTGAGTTAATTACATATCTCTGTGCTTCAACTTCTGTAAATATGGATAAGGACAACAATAATCTCTAGAAGAGCTTTGTTAGAAGGATTAAATTTACTTATTACTATGTTGATTTAACAAAACAAAAATAGCTAAGGGTCTTCAAAGGACTTTACAGCTACTCAATTCTAATGTATCCACTTGTGAATCAGCAACTTTGTAATGTCATGGAAAATGGGCTGAGTACACTACAAAATTTTTTTCTTAATACTTCACAGAAACAACAAAAACAAAGAAATAAAAAAGAAGATACTAAATAAATCTTTTTAGAAGTCTGCCACTAAGAGACCAGTACCAGCAGGTGGTGCCTCATAAACACATTTTTGGCATTCTATTTCCTTTTTCCCTCTCAATCACATAGAAGTATTACAGATGAAGTCAAATCCAGATAGCCTCTGAGGCTCATATTTCCATTTCAGTGGTTTGGAAATATCATGACAATTAGATCTGAGTCATTTCAACAAGGAATAGACTGGTATCAGTTGCTATGATCTATCAGTGCCCCTATCTATCAAGGCCACTTTTCTTGCCAGTTTCCACTATAACTACACATATGCTTCAGTGTTCTTTGCCATGAGAGTAAGGTTACTATTCACTAGCTAGGATACTAGCCAGCTCCAGCCTAAGCACAGTCTCTGCAGGATAAGAGGAATTTGAAGATTATCTACCCTCTGCTATTAACTTACCAGCAAGTTTAACCCCAATATATTCTTTAGGATACTGTCCAAATGATAATAGTGATATATATGTATTCATATCCTCTTCGAATAATAGCTTATTATGAACCAAACAGTACAAAAAATGTTTCTATGCCTGTATATAAATATAATTAACAGCAACGATCAGAGAAAAACTATTTCTATCAAAGAAGGCTTAATTTTAAAGTACAACACAAGTGGGGCTGGGGATTTAGCTCAGCGGCATAAGTGCCTGCTTTGCAAGCAGGCAGTCATGAGTTTGATTCCCAGTACCGATAAAAAAGAAAAAGACAAAAAAAAAGTACAACACAAGTGTACAGATGTGAATATAAATATTTAGAACACACAAATCTGTCATATGAGTTGCCTGCAGAGAAAGGAAATGGGTACACAAATTCTTAAATTAGAACTTTTCCCTTTCATGACTTTTGAATTTTAGTTACTATTCAAATTGTACTACCCAGCCGGGTGTGGTGTAAGCCTGTAAAACTGGCACTTCAGAGGCAGAAGCAGAAGGATTGCTGAGTTGGGGACCAGCCTGGAATACAATGAGACTCTGTTTCAAAAACAAAATGAAAATTGTACTACCTATTTTAAAAGAAAATTAAGATTTTAAACAAGCAGGAAAAAATTCACTCCATCAATTATCGCATCATCCCTTTTAAAGTCTTGGGAATAATCTTTCTATAATTTAATGTTAAGTCCCCCCTTGAAGTAGGGATTTTGTTTCCATTAATCACCCGATAGCACTCAGTGCCTGAACAGAACCATTCATTAAACATTTATTTAATAAACCTAAATAGAATTTGCCAGCTAACTCCTAAACTTCTCCAGAATTCTGTTTGGTGGCCTTCTTCAACGAGTTCGTTAAAACCTAGGGTTTATCTCCATCTCTGGAGTTTTCATATTGTATTATAACTACTGTTAACGTATTGGGGTAACTCACAGACTGGCATTACTTAAACGCACTGACATGAGAGACTAGCATTCATCTAGTGTTCAATGAAATCGATCAAAACCACAGGCTGCCATTTCCCCATCCTACAACGAGTACAATATTGCTCAAATAAGAGCAAAGGAACACTCAGAAGCGTGCGCGTCAAGACACCAGGAATGTCTGCTTCACTGGCTCACACTGGTAAGAAAAGCCCCAGCACCAAACACGTCCCAGGATACAAATCCCCGCATCCAGCCCCAAAGAAAGCGGACACCGCAGGTGCACCTTACACACGAACAGGATCACCTAACCCACACACTACTGTCCACAGACAACACCGGAACATAGCCTGGATCACCCCTCCTTTCGATTCTCAGCCTCACTCCCGAGAAACATAAAAGTCCG